GGGGGGGGGGGGGGGGGGGGGGGGGGGGGGCGCGTGCGCAGCTCCGCGCCGGGAGGAGTTCGGGAAGAGCGACCGGGAAAAGGGTCCGGGAAACGAGCCCAAGGTGTGCGGCCGGGCTGTGCTGCGCTGAAAACATCCCCGGCTGGGCGTTGGTCGGGTTGCGGTTTCTCCGCGCCACGCACGCTCGCCCAGCCTGGTTTAACGGCGCCTCTGCAAAGCACAGCAGCCGTAACCTGCGGTCAGGTTACGGGGTTGTAAAGTTCGGTTCTTCTGTGCTGCGTGCTCAGCCCACTTCCACCCCTTGCAGTAACAGGGTGGTTTAAAAATTCAAGTTTTTATCAATTTTTAATTAGGGGTAATGGCGCACTTTGCCATATGGGTCCCCCAGCTTCTCTCCAGGTCCCCTCTAAAGGCAGACTGGTGTCCTGGCTCCCAGAGCCCTTCTTTTAATCCCATTACTCCAGCAGACGGAGCAGGTCTCTTTGGATTCGTGACCCAGTTCTTCCGTGGAGCCTTGGAAGTTATCCCTGAACTGGGGTCAGTGTGGTTCATGTGCCTCTGCTTTGCTTCCAGACGATTTTTAGGAGGTCAAATCATCATGGGACTCATAAGGAAGTGACAGGAAAAAACACTGCATCCTCTGCCCATTCCCTTCGCCTCCAGCCATCCAGGTGCTTGAGCAGCATCAATCCAGGGTTTAACAGAGCACAAAGCTCAGTTCTGATTGTTGAGAAAGCTTCTGCCAGGCCCACACTGCAGCACCCACTGACTGGGGGATTTAGGAGAGGCTGATCAGACGCTGCTTGGAGTTGGTACCTCATACAGGGTGGGATTTAACTCTGCAAGGCTTTACCTCTGGACACTTCAACCCAACACCCACCCCAGTGGAAACATTCAGCTGCCAGCAGTGAGACAGAAGTGTAGGGATTCGTGTAAAGCCTGGTACTGCAGGGAGAAAGCTTTCCCAAGAGGTTTGGTAATAGGAAACTACCATTCCCCAGGCACTAAAACATTACTCTCCACACTAGTGAAGAATGGTCCCTGCCAAGCAATCCCCCCCTCTGGACTTTTCCTCCTCCTCCCATCACACAGACATTTTCACTTCACATTCCACTGCTGCTCCTCTGCCTTTCTACAGCTTATATTTAGCTCCTGCTAAAGCAGACTGTAAAAAAACAAGTGCAAGCTTGGACCTGTACACATAATTAGTGTCATTTAAGAACATTAATTAATTCGTCATTAACAGGCACAGCTGCAGTGCCCAGACAGGGCATCCCCTGCCCCAAGGGCAGCTCTCTGTCCTTTGAAGCTCAAGTCACCCTCAACCTGCCCAGCAAAATAAACAAAACCCAAACACCAGCAACAAACTGGAGTTAAACCTGAAATCCCTTGTTGTTGCCACCTGGCTTGGGAACCTTGTCAGCCATATTTCATCAGTGACAATATTTCTTCTTCTCTGGCACCACTGGGGAACAGTGTGTTGACATTATCTAATGGAACATTTTCTTTTTAATCCCACCTGGCAGTAACATGTGTAGCTTGCAGTTTTGTTAATAAATTGAAAGCTTTTTCTTTTTAACTCTGAAGAACCACCTGCAATTTCTGCTCTGTTGATTGCATGGCACATGTATGTTTTAAAATTAATATATATTGTCAGTCCCAGCTAACAATTAGAGAGAGGCTCTGGCCTTGCAGAGGTGGTTTAAAATGCCTCAACATGAAATCTGCACTAAATAAGCACTTTAGATTTAAAGCTGCTGATAATTATTTCCAGTACTACCTTGCTTAATGACTTTAAATGCATCACTGCAATTATAATGTCACTGAATCTCAGTTCAAATCCTTTCTGGGGGGTGTGTGGGCTGTGTGGAGTTGCTGGTTATCCTGCCTGGGTGTTGCTGTGGCTGTTTCCAT